CACACCCACACATGTATATATGAGGAAACAAAGGTTAGTGGCTATAAGAGGAAATTCCCTCTTAAAGCACATCTAGAACTCCAATTTTCTTATTGTTATTCCATTAATCAACTATTTCATTATGGTCTCCTTGGTCTAGAATATAAGTATAACAAAATCATATGGTTTGACCTTCGTTTATATATGGAAAGTGCTCTTGTTATCTTGCCTGAAAACCATTAATTTTATAACCAGCTAACGGTTTTGGTTCATAGGGCATAAAGTTTATTTTGAAGGTTGTGAATCATATGTTTGAGGTGTAAAAATAATGGGTTTTAGAGTGCCATATAAGGAAATTTTCGTCTATAAACAATAACCTTTTCTGTCATCTCTTTTATCTTATGTATATATAACGTGGTTTTAAGAGACTATCATAAACATGAGCTGCTTAAAAAACTCATGACTTATTCGTTTTGTAGATAAATCACCTTAAATTTCAATTTTTTGTCAAAAATGCCATTTGGTCATTAACAAAATCGTAAAGTTACTGTTCAGTCGTTTATTTAGCCAATCCAATTTATGTAGAATAAATTTGAAATCTCCTTCAATATGAGCAAAAATATGACAAATGTCATTTTGCTAAAAGATAATCTTACTTTTTGCAATCAAAACGACATCCCATCTCCCCCTCCTCTCTCTCTTCATCCTTTTCGTTCCCAGCCACCTTATCCTCTTTGTTGGCAAAGCTTTTTTGTTGATAAAACCTCCTTCCTCCTCTCCTGTTCTTCTATCCCCTCCCATCTCCCCTTCCTTCTCAAATCCCATTCTCCTTTTACGATGGCATTGGTGGAGCCACTTTTGTCTCTTCACCGGATTCTGTGGCCCGTCTGCTGCTTCCCCTTTGTCTCATTCCCATCTTGTTCTCTACCATTTTCTGATCTATAAATCATTTCTATCTAGATAGGATGAATTAGTTCTAGAGTTAGGGATAGAGTTTACCAAAAAGATCAACTTTCTTCCTTTGTTCTCGTATGCACTTTTATTTTCTTCTGCTTCTTTCATTTTGCATTCATATTTTCGTTGATAATTAGTGCCGATACATGATCTATCCATCACATGATCAGATTATCTAGATCACACTATCTGGCTCGAGTGCTAGAATGCACCAAATTCAGCAGCAAAATGCAACTCACCCTGTTGTTAGGAAGGAGGTGGGAGTAATACCGATGACCTCTCAGCTCTTGGAGGTGTTGAGGTTTCTCTTGCCAGAGCTTTTTTTGATAGGTTAACAATATAGCTTAGATGCCTAAGGATAAAATTTTACCATTTCTTTTTCTATTTTAAGAGTATTTGCTATCCACACTTCTCTACCTTTTATTTCTTTATGGTCAAATTTGTATACAACCTTAAAAGGAACCTTGATTTTTCTCAGTCCTAAAACTTTAAGAGTTGTGGGCAAAGACAAGTATATGTGTGCATTAGAATGCCATCTCACAAAATTATCTGCATATGCTATGCAAATGCTAGAGCTACGGTTCAATTAGAGGGCATTGACACCATTTCCCAACATATTTTTATAGCCGCCATGCTCATTGGCTTTGGCATTACAATAGTAGAGCTTTTTTGCATTGCCAAGTACCAACTTTAAATGTTTTCCCACGATGTCATTACTTACTCTTCCTATCCTTGTCTCTGATTCATGATATTTGTTATTTACAGGGAGAAGCTCTAGTGATGGGTTATGATGATATGGGGTATGCTATCAGTATTATTGATGTGCACCTCTGAGCTGTCAATATGCTACTTTCAAATTTAAATATATGCTGTTCTTACATGTTATTACTGACTAGTATTCCCTGTTATTAGTACGTCAGTAGATAGCACACATGACCTATCATGCCTTTTTTTTCCTGATAAGCGACAACATCCTGCCATCTTAAACATTCTAGCTACTAACCTTATTGTATGCCACTTCATTTAATATAATAAAAATATAATAAGAGGGTACATATACATTGCAAAATTTATATGGACCGACGCTCCTCCCTTATAAACAAGAGCCTTTTCACGAAGGTAACTTATTTCTCCTTCTTATCTTCTAAGGGCTACCAATCTACCTTATGCATGTGTTGGAGGATTGGTGACTTGAGCATTAGTAAAATGTTATACTTTATAATTGAAATAACTAGCAATTTCAAAAGGTTGCACCATTAAACCATCTAATAAAATGGCTAAAGTCTTTCCAAGATCGATAGATAAATCTGAAACATCCTCGAAAACAACAACAACAACAACAACAACAAAGCCTTTATCCCAAATGTTTGGGGACGACTACATAAATCCTATTCTTCTTCCATTCCATTCTATTATGGTACATCTCCTCCATTGAGTTAAACATAAATCTGAAACATCCTCCAATAGATAAAATTAAAATGTACCTCAAGATACCTTTTAAGTTAAAAAATCACATTATGGAGGGAATAATGTCATTCACAAATACCATTATGTGTCAAACATAATGTTAGACATCATTAATCCATGAACCATGAGCTTAATCTTTGGATAAACTAATTAACCTACATGGTATCACAGCATAATTTGTCAAGAGGTTCTTAGTTTAAATCTCATATTTTGAGTTTTCAGTTTCAGCCTTTACAATTGCCTAGATCAAACAACACTAGGATAAGATGGAAAAGAGAATGAGATCCAGATAGATGAGCGATAAGTGTCTCGCAAGCAAAAAAAGGAAATGAATATAAGAAAAACAAAGCTTTCTAAGTAGACATTTTAGGGACCCCAGGATAAACAGAGGAGAAAGGGTCACAATCCAAGGGAGACTCGGAAGATCCTTATAAGTTCAGGTTTGCTAAGAAGTGAATAGTGGTTTGAAGGGTTAACTGTGAAGAAGCTGTGGGAGATTATTAAATGATGTTGCCATCTTATGCTTCTTCAAGTTTAAGCTCTTCTTAAGGAATTTTATATGCGCTTAAAATATCACTTATGTTTCATGTTTTCTAATTATTATTTATATTTATTATCATGATTCACTGATGTTGACTGGCATGTTTTGACAAGTATGCTGAATAAATTGCTAGTAATATTGTAAAGACTACTAAAACTCCTTAAAGGTTGTAGGGATTCACTTGTAATTGCTTTACTCTCTCTTTCATGGTTACACAAACAATAGTAACTATGAATTCCCCAAAAAATTTCTATGAAAGGACAAATAATAGCAGATTTTTCCAATAAATCAGATAGTGTGTTTCCATGAAAATACTCTTAATATTTGGCAGCTAAGCTAATTGTTTCAGACGTCTTTAGTTAGAAGAACATCGCAAGTTCATTTTTTAGTATTATACACTATAAGTGACAACTCACAAGTCACAATATTTACTAGCATTTGATGTATACTGTGCCTGTTATTTAGTCTTCTTTTAAAGATACTAGCCAGCTACATTGCATGAAAGTTGTCTACTTTTTGAGGTGTCTGCCTAGGACTGTCCCTGGCATATGGGAAACATTACACATATGGGTCACATGGACCCTCTTAAGCATGCATTTAAGTTGAAATATTAACTTTTCCTGGCTGAGTAGAAAGGGAGAAAGGAAAAGGACAAATGTTTCAGAGGAAAGAAAACGATAAATGGGAAATATTTATTCGTCTTAGATACAACAGCTTTAGATACATAATCCTCTACTTACTAAATAAATGCATTGGAAATCGTATTTGTAACCTTCAGCATTATAACAGGAAAACATGTATCATGAGTTATATTGAAATCTGAACATCTTTTTCATTTCATATATATTGTCCTTTTTAGTGATATCTGTGGTATTCTTTTGTAGGTATGAACTTTGGAAACCATATCTTAGATCTAAGATGGAGGAGGACATGAAGGAAGTTAGCATAGGTACAAAGAGAAAATCCGAAGTTCTGGAGAGTTGTTTACGGGAAGTGAAAGCAGTTTTCGTAGATGTAAGTCATTATGCTCACCGCTCAAGACAAAAGAAGCTTGCAGGACATAATTAATTGGATACTGCTATGGTTATTTGTCTACCAGGCACCAGCAAGCAGTTTCCTAGAGATTATAGTTATATTATGGCTTCTCTTTCTATCTCATTCTTTGATAATTGTTATGTGTGAAGAATCTCTTATTAGCCTCAATACTCTGGTGTTTCTATCAACCTGTTATTTATTTTCACTTTTCACTTGCGGAAGGTTTACCGTATGCTATTTTCAGAATTATTTTGTACTTGTTGCTGGCTGTGCCATATGCAGCTTTAAGTAACGTTACATTCATCTCGTGGCTGTTTGGTTTTAAGCAGTTGGAGCTGCAATATGCGTGAATGCAGGTGTTTGATTTGCTGCAATTGGAACTGCTTAAACAAATTGATTTTAAACTAAAAGAAATTATTTACGTTTTTTGTAATTGGTAAATTGTTTGAGAAACTGTTACTTGTATTGTGTCAAGATGGACCATTGTCCTATGGGAGACTGCTTAAAGATAATGCACACTTTTGAACAATTGTTTCTTTTCTACTTAAGAAATTGAACTGCATTTTTACAATGTTTGTTGGTGCTCATGCAGGCAAGGAGGCGAAAAGAAAACCTCTTAGAAGCAATGGAACTTTTCTTTGAGAGGTACTATTATAAATGCTATCTTCATATATCAGCTTAGGACCTATATAAATGCTTTTATTCTCTCTCCTATTGCAGGTCTAACAGACCTGCTGGTGATGCACACAATGGCGGAGAGGTTGTGCGGCGATGCAATGCATGCCATGAATCTGATATGGTACTAAGGCGAAAACTGGTAATAGTTCCCTGTTCTTCCCTGTAATCGCTGTAAAAATAATCTTTCACAAGCATATTTCTACATCTCATTTTTAAAATATTTTATCCTTTATCTGGAACTAAACTCCAAATTTTCCCCAGAATGGAGGTTTAATGGTTGGCTGCTTGAGTTTCCCACTTGTAAGTTTTCTTGTCACCGGGATGTCAGTATATGGAAATACTAATTAATAGAGAGAGCTTCATGCTGCTCAAAAAATATACAAGTAGTAATCATCTAACTTTCCTTGCATTATTAAATGTTAATTATTCCTTCTTTCATGCATGATAAACAGATTTATCCATTAAAGAATTTTTAATTTGTTAATTTTTCTGAAGTTTGTTAAATGTCTCCCTGTAATGACACAGTGGATCTAAGAACAGATATTCTTTGGCTGAGAAAGATTTCTGACTTTAATTATGTGGTCCTTTCGATGTGTAAACAAATAAATGATTTACCTGTCGTTCATTCCTTGCAAATGATGAAATTGTAATTGCCAGATTTGAATTTTCAGAAGATTTCTCTGTATTCCATCATAAGAGATCTATGCTCCTCTCCATTGTCAGTGATATATGGCTGACAGTATCATCATCACCATCATTTGCCTGTCAAAATGGGCTCTGCTGAGGATCACAGCTCCAGTAAGTATTGATGAAGTTCTAAATCGGTTGTTGACCTGGTGCCAACCCTCCTTTAATTAGTTCCAAAGTCCCTTGCAACCAAATTGTATACTACAAAGGGCCTTGGCATAGTCTTGGAGACTAGTTGCATTTTTCCATTTCCCCCTAAACTGAGGAATAATGGGCAAGTCATACCATGAGAACTATCTAAGGATACAAAGCTGTTCCCTACCAAAATATGCTTTAAATAAATTTCGACATTAAGTTCTGTCACTGTTTTAATTGTTGATGTATTTAAAACATATTCAGGAACAGAATCCTATCTGGTATTATATCAGTCAATGAGACTAGAAACAATGATTGTTCAAGTAATTTTAATCATACATATTATTCAAAAAAGATAAATTGGGCTATATGCATTGTTGTATGCATCACATGCTATTCAGAAAAGAGATTTCAGTCTTCGGTCTCTTGCCACCAACTTAAAAGGTTAAATATGACATTTGTTCCTGTATATTGAAGACCTGTCTTCCAATACGGGAGAGGCTATGTGCTTCCTCTTTAAGGGCTTTCTCGCTGTCTACTACTATGTTAGTTGTAATCTCTTTCCTTCTGGCATCCTCTAATTTCTTGAGTTTCTACCATGTTTGAATAATGCTAGCTTAAGATGGCATGGTCAATTGAAAATCATAATATCTCCAGCTGCTCTTGGAGATTTATTAGAAGAATTTGTACCTAGAATTTATGGCTGTGCACTGATGAAGGTGTAAAGTTTTGTTTTTGCATTATCCTTTTTTCATCTTTGACGTTTGTTATATCATTATGTTTTGTGAAGGTCGCACCAAAAGTGGTCCCCTGTCGTTATGCAATTATGTTGATATAGGGTCACAATAGATTTTGTTTGACATATTCGATTGATCTTGGTCTTAGCATTGTTTCTGTGGTCTGAGTACTTAATTGATAATTGCATTGTGAGCTTACGTTTTAGCTGTAAACAAAGTCATTTGTTTTATGTGTAACTGTCATTAATATCATATTTTGATTGTATAATTTGAGTTTTTGTTAAATAGAAGAATAATATGCTTATAAGTTTTTCTGTTTAATTGAATATTCCCCCAACTCTGTTGATTTGTCATCTTCTTTGTGTTAGTCATTTATGTCTAAGACTGAAACATTCAATAGATTGTATATTTCAGACCTGGGCCAACCCAACCCTCTTGTATTTTATTAGGTTAGGTTGGGTATTCACTGCTTTGTTTAGGTTTGATTGTACTTTCAACGCAAGTTAACCAGTCAAGATTTTTTGTCGCAAATTGCATTGTTTGGCAGCACTTTCAGAGATTATCTCATGGGGTTGGAGCACGACGAAGAAATAGAAAAAGAGGATTGTTTTGGGCATCAAAGAGGGAAAATGAGGTCATATGGTGCTTCTTAATTTGGTAGCTCATTTGATGTGTCAGGAGAGGCTACAACTGTTATCTACTTAGATCCTAATTTTGAAGATCTAGGGCGAATCAACTTAGCGCGTCTAAGAAAGCTTGGCCCTCGTATTAGTATTCCTCTTATTGGTATTACCATTCCAGAAAAATAGAATTGAAGTACTTTTAGCATCTAGAATTCTAGGAAGTACTCCTATAGGGCTATCACTATCCACTTAGTGCTGGTGGTATTGCCATGGCATTCAAAGTTCTCTGTGAAGTATTGGTAATTTTATGTTTCTGATTACCATCTGTTAATTAATAAAATATTGGATTATTTCTCTTCTTTTATCACATTATCATTGTGTTACTTTTCTCCTCACGTCCAGAGGATTTCTATACTTAGGTTTCCTTCTGCACTATCTATCTAGCCAATTTAACATACCAGTTTCATAACTTGAGCGCTATGTGGTTAGATGGTGATAACTTGAGTTGTATTCTAACTTCCTTTGACTAAAGAGAACTAAATCTTCTGCAATTTTGAATAATAACTTAACAAACTCTTATTATTTAAACAGTTGAATTTTAAGTTATGTATCACTTATCAGTTCGTCAGTCTCAAGCTAATGGTTGGTTATAAACATTATTATTTGACAATATTTGGTGAATGCTTCACAGTGTAGGAACGTTGTGTGGCTCCCAGGAGCAACAGCTGAAGCTATTGTAACCACCAACTTATGCTCTTCTTGTGTTCCAGGTTACCCCACAATCATCTGATATCTTTTGTGTCTCAACTAACCTTTATGTAATTCAACTTGGCCCCCCCCCCCCCCCCCCCCCCGGGGGGCTTCTTTATGATAAGTTGCATAAATATCATCCATGTTGTATACAGGACCTGTTTTCAAGATTCAATTTAAGTTTCGCCGGCTAGAGATACCACCTAATTATGATGTTGATCATTTGGGTAAGTAAAAATGTGCTAGGTATTACCTTAAATTGACTAGATACTTTGGTTTCTCTTTTTCTTCTTAATTTAGAGCCCAAAGAATTTTGGGATAAAGGCTTTGTCGTTCTTTTAGTCCTGAAGAATTATCTTTCTTTTTATGTTTGATTTAGATTAAAAATGTGATTTTTGAGCTGGCTATTTATATTACCCTAACGTAAATGGAAGATACCTTAGTGGTGAACTCAGAATTTTACGATTTTTACATGGAGTTTTACGTTTTAACATGGTGAGCTCACAATTTTATGTTTCTACATGGAGTTTTATGTTTTCACATGGAGTTCTATGTGACTTATTTAAACATCAAACAAAACCAAATGATTCCTTTTTTTGTCCGCAATGTTGATTTTGCCATCATTCGCCTAGTGCAACGGATTATTTGTTGTTTGAGTAGACCGGCAGATCACATTTTACTGCATGCTTATTCAGAAACAATTTTTCATCCATCAAGTTAGTAGTCTGGCTTGATCAAATATCTAAAAGAGAGTTTCCTTGAGTTTTACAGAGTTTTTAAATAAGTTTTTAACTTATAATGACGGTAATATTAGATTAATTGGAAAATAGCAGGTTTCTATGTAATAGGTCTAGAAATAATCTGGTTTGCCTCCACTAGTATCGAACAGATTTACTGAGATTAACAAGCTCTGTAAGTAAGTGTACAATGATATTGATCATGTGCTGTGATACCCGGACACGGCAATTTTGGCACTGTACCCGTGTCGGGTGTGGTTTGGGTACGTTTCCGCACCCAAACGGAGGGGACACGGGAACAGCTCATTTCCCATGTGTCGGGGAAGCTCGGAGATCGAAGACCAGGTCGGGGAAGCGTCGACGAGGGTCGGGGAAGCTTCGACGAGGTCGGGGAAGCGTCGACGAGGGTCGGGGAAGCTTTGACGAGGAACAGGGTTTCGGTAATGAGATATTCTCGTGGCGGCGTCAGGAGAGAAATGAGATCTAGGGTTTTACTTAAGTTGGGTTTGGGTTTGGGTTTGTTTATTTTTAGCACCCGTTTTGATTTTTTTTTGAAATAGTTGGGCGGGCCGTTTAAGCGGCCCACTTAGCTCTTTTTTGATGCTTATGTGGAATATAAAGCCAAAGAGTTTACTTTATAATTTTAAGGAATGAGCTTATTTCTCAATTTGAAATTAAACATAGTAAAATTAATATAAATGTTTTTCTAAGGTGACACCTTAGATTCCCACCTAAGGACGCGGTCTAAAATCACATCATTCCATTTTTTTTTACGATCCGCTCCGTTGAACTTGATCTACACGTTCTTAAACCCAAACACCAATTTTAGGGTGAACCCGTCGTGTTTTGACCCTTCATCCACTCACCGTAATACCGTAATTTTAACGGTTTCGAATGAATAGAACTTTTTGCACGGCTCAAAACACGACGGGTTCACCCCAAAATTGATGTGTTTGGGTTTAAGAACGTGTAGATCAAGTTCAACAGAGCGGAAAAAGCCGTGTCCCTGTACCCTACTTTTTACAAATTTGCCGTGTCGCGTACCCGTGTCCATACCCGTACCTATGCAACCTTGATCATGTGGTAGATATGTTTGACATGTCTTCTCACTAAAGGAGGGTTCTCTCCTAAAGGGGTCCAGCTTAAAATTAGTTTCATCAACAATATTACATTTAGTTAGGATATGCGACAATGGGGACAAAAAGAGCTCCTTTCTGGAATCTGATGCATAACAAGCACAAGGCTTCATTACAGATTTGTCAAATTTTACAACTGGATGTTTACCTGTTATTAGCCCTGTACAAAATTTTGGGGCAAGGAAACAGTTGAGAACGGAGGTACTTGCCATAAGTTCGATGAGGCAAATTGGCAGGTTGGAAAACCCACCTGTCATATATTAAGATTGTGCAACCAAGCTGCAACTCTGCGAATTCTTCCAGTACAAAATAGCATCCATATGAAGAAAAGCTATTGTTTGGGATTCTTAATCTAACGTTCAATTAAAGCTAAAGATCCAATAGAATGCAATGGGCAATCACATAAACCCTTGGTGATACACTATACCTTTTTCCTTACCTATCACTGAACGTAAGAACAAAGCGTCAAGTCTTATTTTCATCGGTTGAATAGGTTCACACACTTTGTGAGTCAGCCAGATGTTTATGTATGGCTATTTGTTTTTGTTAATTATTTATTTATTTCAAGAAGATTTTATTTTTCATGTGTACTATATGTGCGCACGCGCTTGTGTTTGGCGTCGGGTCCCAGTGATTTACACTTTTATTAGACTTCTCTCCCATTTCCCCCTTTTCTCCATGCACTAGTATTAAAAGATAGGATACCAGAATAGACAGAAATAGCATAGACATGCAATGTTCCAGGAGTTGGACACATTTCAATTTCATATCTGAGTTTACATGCTTTTGCATGGACCAGTCTAGACTTCTGTTTAAGCCTTTTAGAAAAAGGAAAACAATTTATTTGTGTTACCGAATTGTTCTCGTTGTGTGAGCAAGTGTATGCTGGACAGGGAGGACTATATTTTATTAATTTTTTAGTTTTTTATTCAATACACTTAATGCCACTACTACCACTGCTGCTGCTCTTTTCTTCTTCCACTAGGATAAAAATTATATAGTGTTGTATTTCACTTGTTAATTGGTCAGCCTACTTATTGCACTTCTTGAAAAGTTATTTCCCTTAACTGCTTCTGTTTTCTGTTTACTAATGCTCATTCTAGCTTTTTCAAATGAAATATATATTCCATTTTGACACTATTTATAGTTCAGTTGAATGAAAATACGCCTTAGTTTGAACTTATATTTCATGTTGGTTTCCATTCTTTTTCTGCTGTGAGGAATTTCAAATTTTCATTCTTCAAGATATATCTTACTATTTCTGAACACCTACAAATGTCAAGTGTATGCTGGACAGGGAGGACTATATTTTATTAATTTGTTAGTTGTTTATGCAATTCACTTAATGCCGCTACTAGCACTGCTGCTGCTTTTTTCTTCTTCCACTAGGATAAAAATTATATATTGTGTTGCATTTCTCTTGTTAATTGGTCAGCCTACTTGTTGTACTTCTTGGAAAGTCATTTCCCTTAATTGCTTCTGTTTTCTGTTTATTAATGCTCATTCTAGCTTTTTTCAAATGAAATATATATTCCATTTTGACACTATTTATAGTTCAGTTGAATGAAAATACGCCTTAGTTTGAACTTATATTTCATGTTGGCTTCCATTCTTTCTCTGCTGTGACGAATTTCAAATTTTCATTCTTCAAGATATATCTTACTATTTCTGAACACCTACAAATGTCAAGTTTTTAAATACCCATGCTTCTTACAAACTTTATTGCACTTATGTTAGTGTGTTTACTTGTTCATTGCTATGCTTAACAATTGTTTTGAAACTTCCTCCGGTACATTTGATATAACAACATCCTTTCATTCTGGTCGCTATTCAAATGGGATCCAACATTAAGAAGAACCTATTTTCTCTAGAACACCATTTATCCGTAGCATCGCTTGAATGTGTCAATATGATACACATATCTGTGAAACAATTCCTCGTTAATCTTAAAAAGATAATGTGATGTAAGTTTTTGTTGTCTCTTCATATAAAGAACAAGGACATTGATATATTTCCAAATGATGTTTAAAGAAGTTTTAGCGTCCTTAAATTGTTAACCAATAACTAGCTTTTAAAAAAGTTATTTTAATTGATTGACATTAGTGTGGTAAATATATTAGAGAAGTTAGAGAAACGTGTTTAATCTCAAATTGGAAAGTTATATAAATGTATTATCTTTAATTTCTTATAAATAAAATCTTTAATCTCTCTCCCTCCCTCCCTCCAGCCCTTCCTCTAGAATTAAGTCATTTTCCTAACGGAACAATTAATATAGTGGTTCTTCTAAAGAAGATTGTAAGTTTATGGCTTGAAGGTATAAATAATCCCCCCCCCCCATCACCACCAAAAAATAATCCCTCTATCTATCTATAGAATCAAGTCATTTTCCCAACACAACAATTAATGTAGTGGTTCATCTGAAGAAGATTTTACTTTTATGTTTTGAAGGTATAAATAAATTTATAATAGTTCCTCTAGCAAATTAGATTGGCTTTATTTTTTATTCACTTATTTCAGCAATTAAATCAAGTATAAATTGAATTTTCATTTAATAAAGAAATTCAAATCAAATGCTAACAACCGAAAATATTATATGAACTATACTCTATATATCTGATAAGATCCAACTGCCAACGGAAATCTCAAATTTGAGTTAAGTGTAGAAATCCAGTTGATAACTAAAGATCCAAACTAATCTAAACAGGATACAAGCATGTTTTAAAAACAGTTATGTAATATCCTCATTAGTTACTATTCGACGTGATTGCAAGTATACAACTCACTAGGCTGCTTCATGTGACACCGCAAAAGGGAAAGGGTTAAAACAAATTGATCTTCAACTGGGACGGCTTAGTATTTACAATCAAATATCTTAGACGTCAAGGAAACTGTCAACTTGCTTTTATTTCAGATGGCCGTGGCTACTTCAGCAGTCCTTACTATAAGACTCATGTAGAGACATTCAAAATGTGTCCTTGCAGAGTCCTGCATCACATGCTCAGTAGACAACCTCATATTTTTTAATTGCAGAACTATGTATTTCAACTGTCTATAGATATACGTAACTAGATGTTTTATATGTTTAAGGATTTCATCTTCATTGCTCTGAAGTTCACAGAACATTTTCTCTTATGCCTGGGGACTGCTTGTAGTTAAGACTTAATTAAATTAATTTCTCTGTCAGTGGCTATATTTTTATTCTTTCGACTGGAAATTTAGTTGAACAACTATATTTACATCTAGAAGTGATGGTTATTGAATGTAATGCATGTGCTTTTTGCCTGTAGCCTTAAAAATAGCTTGAAAATCAACTACAGAATAGCAAAATGAATACACTGTGAGGTCCTTTCTTTGTTCTTTAATTTGTAAATACAAATCATGAGTAACTGAATCTAGTGATTCTGCTTGACATGTTTACGTTTTTTAGGCTGCATTGGTGGCTGTGATGCTATATTGAGGGAGCTGATAGAAATTTGTGGGACGGGATCGCGAATGCCTTCCGGTTGCCCAGGTTTGTCTTCATAAATGAAGAATTCACATCTGGCTGTGGATGTTTTCCTTTTCTTATTTTTCTCTTCTCTCGATGTGCATCCAAGAATGAAAGCAAATTACTCTATCACCAATACATGGGCAGCTAGGTTACCCGGACGCTTCATGTAGGCTCCCGTATCCGTGTCTGACCTTTCTCTTATCCGTGTCCATGTCGGACACTCCTTAGACACTTCTTGAATATATATGCAGATGTGCACTCAATTATATAACACATGTTTTAGTTTAAAAACTCATGATACACTACTTGAATGTATTTTGTACACTGCACCTCAAATTTATGCAACTCGTTGGACTCGGGGAAAATAGTTTTAGCACATAACTAGTTTATAAGTATGATGTTACTTAAAGGGTCATTTGGGTATCTAGTTAAAAAAACGTGTTTTTTTTTTTGGTTTCTTATCTATTAAATAAATGAAACTTAAAAATGGTTTAAGGATTTTAGTTCTCATAAGTCATAACATGTGTATGAAAAACAATATCTATCTCATATAGATTATTAATTTTAATATGTATGTATATAGCCGTGTTCCCGTATCCTATGTAGCACGGACACGGATCCGACACGGCCATCCGACACGGCGACACGAGGCAAATCCTAAAAAATACATAGGATACGTGTGTTCGACATGTGTGTCCAACACGGACACGACACGACACGACTTTATGTTATGTGTGTCCGTGCTTCATAGCCGTATCCTGACTTTTATAATTTGACAGTGTCCAATGTCCGCACACGTGTCCGTGTCTGATGCGCACCCGTATCCATGCAACATAGATGAGCAGTGTGTTGTTACGTGTTCTTGAACTTGAATTAGATTTTCTTCGCTACCTACAGTCGAGAGTTGAGACTAATTTGCAATATTTTCTATAAAAATGAGCACGGATCAGTTTTAGCTGGATTCCCATTGAGCTGTTGCAGCGACCTTTCCTGGAACTTCAGGCGCTCTTGTATTAGTATAATGTAACAGAAAGGATCGTCAAACATGTATTGAATTCCCTAGAAACTTCTATTTTCAACTGTTATAATTCTAGTTAAATTAGATTAGTTTGCATAGGTAGCTCAACTTATTACTTGCTCCTTTTATGATATAACGAGAGAGAGTGTGTGTGGATTGATTGAGATGGTTTGGCTACGTTAACCAAGCCCACTATATGTACCAAATAAGCGAGATGATAAGATTGTAACTAATCAAGCAAGCAAAACTAGATATAGGCTGATAGGCCTAGGAGAACTTGGAAGGAAGTAATTAAGAAGCATATGTTAGTGGTTAAGTGAATGGATGAGACAATCTTAGCCATAACTGAATGGGATAAAAGAATTTGTGTAGCAGACCAAAAAATTCGGGAAGGCTTTGTTGTTGTTGTTGATGATGAGGATGATGATCAACTTATTGCTATTATCTACATCGTATATTGGATTTTTCCTTGCAAAAGGAAAACAACTCTAGAATACAACTTGGGACAAAATGTAAGAATATGTCAATTTGGAACAAGTTATATTTGTGAAAAAAGAGCTGTTAGTAATAATAGGTTATTAGTTTAGCTTTCTAGGACCTTCATGATATATTTCCTGATAATATTTGGCAAACTTAAAACAGAGTGAAATTTCGATCAATTTTTGCAGCATCTTATATATCCTATCATCCTATGAATTCAGTACCCATCTGTTGATTAATCAAGACAAATCTAGTGTCATGTTTATGTCATTAGAATAGCCTGTTCCCAGACAACTTTTGCTGAGATTTTTAACTGTCCACTTTCCTTTTAAATATTGCATTTGTATTTTCTGACTGCTTGCAGCAAGAGGACAAACGGCTGGTGAAACTCCGAACAGTACAAGAAGAGGAAACCTAGGACAGGATGTATGTCCACATTGCAGGCAAACAGGGCATTCATCAAATGAATGCCCCTCTCAAGGTTCCCGTTCTCGTAGTGCTCAATCTAGCAGAGTCCAGAACTCAAGAAATAATATAGGTAGTTTGTATTGCCTTGAACTACCTAGCAATCAGATGCTGCCATTTATTCAAGTATGAACGGAAATCTGATAATATTTTCATAATATTGTCCAGGTCAAATCCCATGCGAGTCATGTGGAGCATCATGTCCAGTAAGAACAGCTGCAACAGAGCAGAATAGAGGAAGGAAGTTCTTTTCCTGCCAAAACCAGGAGTGTGGTTTTTTTGTGTAAGTAACAGAACTCTTTTTGCTATTTGTTGCTTTTGCATTAAAACATATCCTTCCAAGATATGCAATACTAGTTTTATCTTTTCCATGCACTGATCTTCTCTGTTTTCTTCTAGTATGCTATCATTTACTTTTTGCTTTGTTCTTTATTTCTAGTCAAGTTAGAACCTGTTATGTGAATGTTATTCACGTCTAAACTGTGTTCGCTCTACAGTTTAACCACTGTCATCAATTATAGGCATTACCAGTGGTGAATTTTATTAAGTTAAAATTTTTTTTATAAAGAAAACCTCAACAGTCTATTTTTTGCTTCTTTGTGAAATCCTTTTGCAGGTTTGCTTTTAGCTCTCTTATATAATCTTATCTTTTGGCCATTGTTTGGCTTTAAAGGTTGTGTTTTGTTCCTGTATGGTTTGGCAAAGAAGTAATTTTTTTGAGGGAAATGAGGAGTAAAGAAGATGAAAATGGAATACCCACACATATCTACACATACACATGTACATGTACTTCTACATCTTACCTATATACCCTGGAACCTACTGTAGATGGGGAAAACATAATGGAGCATTATTGTACTCCAAATCTTACCAAGGTTTTCTTATTGTACTGATGGTACGCTTGGAAATGCCTGGTTTCATTTGCCTTAAATTTTTTATTTATGTTTCTCCCTGTTCTCCCCCTTTCATTTTCAACCAAGCAGTACTTTCTGGCTTTCTGATATCCCTATCAAATACAAACAATGATATCTCCTATGACATTCTGGAATATTACTTTATATATAGTTACATCAATTTGATTTCACTGAAAGTAAGGGTCTGTTTGTTTGCACGGAAGTAATTGTGAAGTGGCTGAAGTAAAAGAAGTAAGAGGCTACTTCTGTTACTTCCAAGCAAAAAAGTGTGTTTGGTTCTCTGAAAACTTACTTCCAATACTTCCCTAAATGCTTATGTGGCGCCTACGTGTCATCCTTACTTCCAAAATATTTTTGCAATCCTCAATACTCAGAAGTAGCTCGAAAGTAGTTGAAATGCATATTAATTATGACATAAATAATTTTTTTATTAATATTTTATTTATTAGTTATTTCTAACAACTTTTCATTGATAAAATTACTTCCTAATTATATTTCCAAATGTTATCCAAAAAAAAGTAAATGAAGAGGAATAAGTTCTATTTCCATTACTTCTAAAAATATATGAAACAAACAAAAAAAATGCTATTTCCACTACTTCCTACTTCATAGCTTTGAAAGTTACTTCTATAACCTACTTCTTACTTCTAATACAGCTTTGAAAGTTACTTCTATAACCTACTTCTTACTTCTAATACTTCCATTATCCAAACGGGCCCTAAATGCGAAAAAAACTTGGAAAAAGTTAGAGTTATAGCTCTACCTAAAGTGAGTAAAAATGAGAATAGTCCTATTTGTTTGTCATCCATGTTTTTCTTTTATTGTCTGCAATCTAATTTTTTGCACAAACCTTCTAGTCGCTTCCAATTTTTAGGAGCTCATATCATCCGTCAAACTTCTATATACTCAGGCATTTTCAAAATAATTTCTTACTCGTTTCTCTCTTGTTGCAACTTGTTTAATATGTTACAGTTTATTGCAGATGCACAACCTGTAACTTAGGAAGTTAACCACTTTTTACTCCTTAAAAAAATTATTAGCACTTTTACCACATGAAGTTCTCTCGTTATATGTACCACATGGAGTTCTCTCGTTATACCCGTCACATGACATCAATGTGTTGCAGAAAGGTCCTCTGATATTTCATTGAGTTGCAAAGACACCACATATTCTTTTGTAGGTGTTGAATATACACCCCTATAGTACGGATACAGATAAGAAAGAGACAACTTCTAGGGCTAATTGCGGGAGACCGTCTGTACTCTTGCCAAATTGATCTTACCATCCCTGTAGGTCTATTGTTGCAGATAGACCCCCCCTGAATGAAGTTCTTTGCAATAATAGAACTGCAGCGGTAGTAATTTCAGTTTGGCGAGAGTACAGGAGGTCTATCCGCAATTAATCCTAACTTCTATGTACTTCAAGGCATTTTCAGATGATTCTTTACTCGTTCCTTTATGATTCAACAATGATATTGAATCACTATAAAACATAACCGCATGATTTTCAAAATGCAGGTGGGATGATAATTTAGGCAGTGGAGGAGCGCAAGGACGAGGAGGATCTCGTGGAGGTCGCAGCAATAGGGTATCATCATCCGCTGCAAGAAGAGGCAGTGGTGGTCGTGGTGGCGGTGGCCGAGGACAGAGAGGAGGACGAAATGAAGGCTCTACGTTTGTGTCAGCTACTGGTGAACCGCTATCCGGGAGATGTTTTGTTTGTGGTGATCCTTCTCATTTTGCAAATGCTTGCCCAAATAGAGGCAGGTGAAATCTTCTCTCATCAGATTGAGGCATTTGATGCGAGATCTGATAGATTGAAGAGGACTGGTGAATTCTACTGTTATATCGTGTGGCAGGTATATTTGCTTGCTAAGTTAGAGTTGAATAGACCTGTACAGATAAAATGAGGGAACTAAATGAAAACAGCTGGTTCACTTGGTTTTATTAATGCAGTGTTGACTTGATTTTGGACATGCAATCCTGGTATTCATGGGCTTTCAAATGAACTGTGTTATTTCAACCCACAAATTGCGTGGATTTTATTTTCACTAGCTCAAAGAGTTTCATTGGGTGTTTATATTGAAGGAATTGTGTCCTTTAATTGAATGTGCAATTACTAATTATAAAATGGGACATTTAATGGAGATTTACAATCCGGTTATTTTAGGTAATCATAGTGCTTTGCTAGAAGCCAACTATGATTTATGGACTTTATGTTATAAAGTTCATTGCTATTGTAATTAGGTCCTACGAGGTCGCACCCTAAGAGTTTATGGACTGGATATATTGGGAGAATTATAATATAAAGTTATATAAGATATAGCTTCGAAATAGAGTTTATTAATAATAAGGAGTTATTGTTAAATAAAAGATAAATTTATTTGTAAATTTTATAAAAGATAATATTTAATTATAGAATTAAATATAAATTTAATTAGTGGATTATAAATAGGAGTGATTTTTCTATTAGAAACTCTAATCCTATTCCACTTTCTCTATATATACGTGAAAGTATTACTACTTTCTCTCCTATCATCTTCAACCTAGAAGTTGATTTCTAAGGATCCAGATCTTTGTTCGGGTGGATCAACTAGAGGAGTTTTCAAGTGAGACTCTCAATCTCTCCATTAGAGAAGGCTTTGAACACGCATCAAGAGGTAATTGTTTTTCCTAATTCTTAATCCAATTGATTTATGCAATAGATCCTTTGTTTAGATGTTAAGAAAGCGTTTCCTGCATTTCCGCTTAGAGCATCTAAAAACCTATAGTGGTATCAGAGTCTCTTGCATAAATTAATTGGATCAAATTTTAATCTTACAATTTGATGCATGTTCATGATTATTTAGATTCAATAAGAATAGATCTGATGTTTGGATTAATGCATAATAAATACGATTTATTTTATAAAATATTTGATATTTTATTTGATAAATAAAGATTTAATTGTTCTGTAAGATCTATAGATATCTTATTTGGTTAATTTTGAATTAACATATATATATTTGTTTCTATTTCTTGGCAAATTACTAATTAATATTAGATATTAATTCCATTCACAGTCTTATTGAATTAAAATAATGAGAAATCGTTTCTAATTTTAAATAGTTAATATTGTTGAAATCTAAGAGACATTTTGTAGAAATCTAAAAGACAAAATGTATGTGGACATTACTTTGTATGTGGACTATTAATTTCATGTCTTTTTGTATTCCATCATGTATCTATAAATAGTACGATGTATGGAAATGGAAGTGTGAATAAAAGATTACAATTTCTCTTCTTCTCTTGTCTCTTGTCTCTTGTTTCATTTCTTTAGTATATTACAACACGTTATCAGCACGAAAGCTCTAGCTAGTCGGTTCGTAATCGTCCGTTGGTGGTAAGAGGTATTTGCAAAATCCCTTCTTCTCTGGCATATCTTTTATTTTATATTTCGGATATAGTATTTGTATTAAAGATAAGGGATATTTTGATATCTGCACATTTTTATTAAACATATTTAGAGATCGCTGATAATTTTCATGAACTGAAACCAAAAATAAAAAGTTTATAATATTTTATTCTGAAAATAAATACGTAATTATATATGTATAGGTCTAGACATATTGTAAGTAGAACTCATAAGCTCATACTGTATTCCTCTCTGTTCTCAGAAAATAAATATATAATTGTAGTAACTTTCAAACCAGCGAAGCACACGAAATTACTAAAGCTTATTTACATATAGGGTCAAATACAGAAACTCGGTCTAGTTTAAGCTTTCATTTATATTAACTAAAAACAAGAGTTATTTGATGTAGTGTCGTTGTTTTTAACTAGCTACCCTTCTAGTTTTACCTTTGCATGCAGACGTCCCAATGAAACCTTTTCTTCTCTGTCATAGTCACTTGGAATGAGAAAATTATTTTTTGACAATAAACTCCCTGAGGGTAAAAGAGTCTAAAGCAATCATACAGATGGTCTATCCGCAATTAACCCTAATACTGTTGATTGCATCTCAACTATAGAGGGTAGGCAATTGCTAACCTTAATCCTTTTCATTAACACTTTGAGTACTAGCCTGTCTCAATGAATTATCTCCCTATTATTTATACCTATTTATAAGAGATTATGGAAGCCTCTCTGCAATAATTTAGACATTGAGAGATCACGGACACCTGTAATCAATGAATGCATGTCTTTGTATATAAACACAAAGGTGTATGTAATATGCATAAACAAAGAACACTAAAGGTACGCAATATGCGTTAAAAAAATACTAATCCATGCATCATATGAGCTAAATCCTAGTTGTTATTAAACTAGGGTATTTTTGGTATTAGGTCTACCCAATTATGGAGGTTGAATACAGTAACTTGTAACTTGATATTGTTAATTATGCCTCAAATTTTTTTTATCATTTTATACCACTATGGTTATTAAGTATATCAATTATCACAAGGAAATTCTGTCACACTGGCCCTCAGCATTCAAGCCACAATGTAAATCTCCGTGTAAAATAATTGTTCATCTCCTCATGTCAGTAGTTATGAGTTATTCTTGTCAAAAGGACTCAAAGGGGAAGGCAAAACAAGGTGAAAAACATCATGCCAGTTTGCCTGAAGCAAACATAACTTTAAAAGATGACAATTATGAAGATAACCTATTGAATATGGGAGATATGAATCTGGCAACCTTGAGTTTAGAAGAAAGTATAGCACAAACTGGTTATGCCTTTGTTTAATTTCTACTTGCTTGAGTTTGTGATGATCATTGATCGTCCAAGCATTTAAAATTTTGTGTGAATTTTAATATCAGACTAGTTTGCCAGAAGCAAACATTTGAAAGATAACATTTATGAAGATTTTTAGAAAAATGAGCTTGATAATTTTGGTGATTATGTGAATATTTCTAATTCCTGATGCACTAATTTTTCATCCCCATATTAGTGCACTGTGATATATGATAGTAATTATTACTTGTCTTTGGCCTCGAATGTTTATTTTTACTGGACACCCTTGTGATTTTTGCATGATTATATCTCTTGATTCTTTAAGTATATTTGCCCAGAAGGTAAACACTTTAAATTTTCTAAAAAACATGAAAAATTAAATTCTTCAGTGAAAAAGTATTCACTTTTCTAGGCTATCCCTGAAGGATCGCTTTGATCTATGGAAGCCAATAATTTGATCAAAAAATTCTTTTCCCTATTCCACGCAAATAATATTGTACTCTAGCAGCAGTACATGACCAAGAATTACTCTTAGCATTCTGAATTGATTAGTAGTCGCAGAGAAACACAATCAATTGATGATTAGAAATCACAATGTCAGACTAGTTGGCTTACGAGTTGTGTTTGTAGCACATGCTACAATTCAGAAAATTACTTATACGCGTGGACAAGGGGGAGGCTATGAACATAGATTAGAAATCACAATGTCAGACTAGTTGGCTTACGAGTTGTGTTTGTATCACATGCTACAATTCAGAAAATTACTTATACGCGTGGACAAGGGGGAGGCCATGAACATAGTAGGAGATCTTATCCTGTAGCCATTTTTGGATTTTAAACCCTCGACTGAATACAATTCAACAAGTAACCTTGTACTCTTACAATAGTACAACTAAAAACATTATGAACTAATCCTTGCATCAGTAGCTGTTAAAAACACAACCAGCTGTTGTGAGAAACCATAATGCAAGTTTAATTGGTTCAGTCGTAGTGCCTGAAGCACATGTCATAATTCAAGTTAATATTCATAAGCTCGAACGAGGGGGAGGTAGTAGATCTTATTGAGGTGGTCAAGGTAAACTATTTGGTTTTTCTATATTTGGATTATATGCATTTGTCAGACAATTTTAATTTATCTTGATTTTGCTTTAAACTCTTGTGAACCTATGTGGTTTTTATTCATATGTGTATATTTTAGAATTTGTCTGACCTAAAATACAACATGTTGCGATGAGTTTGAGATTTAGGGACCCAAATTCTTTTAAACTCTGGCATGAGCGATTGGGTCATCTTGGGCAAAATATGATTTGTCGGATTTCCTTAAATTAAATGGGGCATGAAGGTACATATATTATTTATGAAACTCCGTCAATAATTTAGTACCTATGGCCCATGTTAGGGGATCAATTTATAATTTGGTACGCTGACTGCATTTTTATTGAAGATCAATTCTCGATATTAGGGGGAGATTAGTGCCCAAAATACAAAATAATGTCAAGAAATTCCATTGGTGAAAAAGATTTTCAATATTTATATCCACGTACTAGTCAAACTGAACCAGAAGTTCACATGATAATCTGCTAAGAAAAGAGTGACTAAGCCCCATATTCATGTTGAATATATCATTGATGATTTGGTATGCCAGAAGCATATTGTGCCAGAAGCATATAAAACATGATAGTGTAAAATAAAAGTCCGCGGCAAACTAAATTATATATATAGAAAGACAGTCACTCTCATAACCTCCAGAAGAGGTTCATCCTGAAGATGGAATCTCCAGTAAATTGCACGTGCACTTGATAATCATAATACCGGAGATGGGGAACGGCCAAATCCAATTGTTAATGGAAATGACGAGGATTTGGTTGACATAAAATAAGAATTAAAGTGGCCACGAATTTGTGAAAAAGGAGAAATATATAATAGAAATATTAAAGTTGTCGACAACATAGTTGCCTCTATAGTTGCTCTTACTATCTCCGAAAATAATTTGGATCCAGAACCTAAGTCAGTAGTAGAGTGCTTGAAGCACTCGGACTAGGTGAGATAGAAAGTGGCAATTGAGGCTGAGCTGAACTCGCTAAAGTATTTTGAACCTGTAGTTCATATATCCCTGTAGGATATAAATGGGTCTTCGTAAGAAAAATAAATGAGAATTGTAAGGTGGTGAGATATAAAGCGAGATTCATAGCTCAATGGGATCACGCAGAGACCCGACATCGATTTAGATGTAAAATATTCTCCTATTAGTGATTGTATTACGTTCCGCAAGTTAATACATATGGCAGAAACTATGAATTTATATATGCAGAAAACAAGAATCGCAACATGTATAACATTAAATTATAAAGGTCGTAAGTTCCTCCTGAAGAGGAGATATGCAAATAATGATGTATACCCTTGTGTGTTTATAAAGAAATTCAAAAATGACTTTTGTATTATATCAGTCTATATTGATGATATAGATGTTATTGGAATGCACAATGAGCTTACAGAAGCTAGCTCATGCCTAAAGATGGAGTTTGAAATAAAAAGAACTTGGGAAAAACCAAGTTTTGTCTCGGCCTGCAGATCGAGCATTTTCCCAGAAGGAATTTTTCTACACCAGTCAACCTATGTGAAAAAGTTTTTAGAAAGATTTTATATGGATAAATCTCATCCACTTAGCACACCAATGATCGTCCGGTCCCTCGAAGTGGATAAAGACCCATTTAGACCCAAAGAAGATAATGAAGAAATATTAGGGCCAGAAGATCCTTATCTGAGCACCATTGGAGCACTTCTTTATCTCGCAAATTGCACCAGGCCTGATATTGCATTTGCGGTGAACTTTTTTTTTGGTCAATGAAAATTTTGTATTCATTAAAACCAATTGTAGAGTTTATGTACATCACTTTTCTCAATTGAGATATCTATTTACATTATAAAATCAGGAAAAAAAAAACCGAAACCTGAAACACACTATCCCTATACTGAAATCAGCCAGTCTTTGAGATCAGGAGAGCTAGAATTGTTTAGGGAAATAGTTAACAGCTCCACCTTGATTTCTTTGATCAGAGCTTCTGGAGTTCTACACTTCAGCTTGAAAATTCTCTCATTTCTTTCTTTCCAAATACAATAGATTGAGGTGGACAAAGCCATTCTTTTGAATCTTTTTTTGAAACCCCTCCCCTTCAATCTGTTGCAATACCAGTTGATAAGCAAATTCCAATCACAAGTTCTCCAATTGAAATTAAGCCAGCTTGTAATCCCATTCCAGACTTCTTGAGAGAAAGAACAGGAGAAGAAAAGGTGATTCCTATTTTCCAAACTGGTACCTGAACATAAGCTGCAGCAATTTGATGGAATAATACCTCTACTTTGAAGTTTGTCTTGAGTAAGAAGCTTGTTTTGAATTGCCAACCAGAACACAAAATTGTGTTTGGGATAATTCCAATTCTCCCATACTGTTTCATACCAGAGAACTTTAGTAGAAACCGGATATAGGGCATTATACAAGCCTGAAATATGAATTTTAGAGTTCATGTTACAGGAGCTGATCACTCTCTTCAAATTATCAATTCCTCCACAAGCTGTGATGGCTTTATTTCTGGTTTTAAGTATCTGTCTCCATAGCCAGGAATCATTCCTCTTGCTTTCAACATTCCACACATCTCCATTTTTAATATAGTTACCATGCACCCATTTAATCCACATAGACTCTTTGTTTTCATGAATAGACCATAGGGTTTTCAGAACTGCAGCCATGTTCCAAGTAATTGCAGAAAATATTCCTAAACCACCAAATGTTTTATCAGTGCAAACTTTGTCCCAAGAAACCAAAGGAGGCCTAAGCACTTGATCTGTTCTACCCCACAGAAAGTTTCTACAAAGCTCATCAATTCTTTTCAACACCTTGACTGGTAAGACATAGCATGAAGTCCAGAATACTTGAGTGCCTAGAATAACACTCTTAATAATTTGCAATCTTCCCGCATAAGATTCTGAACAATAATAAGTCATCGGCAAAGATCAAATGTGAAATTTTTAGTTTTCCACATTTAGGATGAAACTTGTATAAACTGTCTTGCTTTAATTTGTCAAGGCTCCTTGAAAGATACTCCATACCAAGTATAAACAAATAGGGGGAGAGGGGGTCACCTTGCCTTAGACCTCTTTCCCCTTTAAAGTATCCATAGAGTGTACCATTCAGAGAAATAGAGTACCTTGGAGAAGTTATGCATGCCATGATCCAAGTTATCATCATTTTGGGAAAACCAAGTCCATTCAACATATCCTCCAAGAAACTCCAACTGATAGTATCGAAGGCTTTTTTGATGTCAATGTTCAGCATAATCCTTGGAGAAATAGACTTCCTACCATAATTCTTGACAAGCTCATGCGCTAGCAAAATATTGTTAGAGATCTGTCTACCTTTAACAAAAGCACACTGAGCTTCATTTATGAGACAACCAAGAACAGATTTGATTCTGTTTGCAATAATCTTTGAGATAAACTTGTAAATACAATTGCAGCAAGAAATTGGTCTGAAATCTGAAGGGGATTTAGGACAGTTTACCTTGGGTATTAGGGTAAGTGATGTTGAATTTATTGCACCCAAAAGCTTTCCAGATGTAAAAAACTCTTCAATGGCATTTGTAACCTCCTCTCCAATAATATGCCAAGTAGATTTATAGAAGGAAGCACTGAAGCCATCAGGGCCTGGACTTTTATTATCAGACAAGGAGAAGACTGCTATTCTTATCTCATCTTTGGAAACAGGAGCAGCTAAGTAACTTGCCTGATCATCATTCAGGCGATATCCATTCTTTATGATGTTAATGTCAGGTTTTGTAGTTACAACAGCAGTACCCATTTGGTTCTTGAAAAAAGAAATTAATTCATTTGCAACATCTTCAGGCTCAGTAATCCTTTCACCAGAACTTTTATATAGAACCAAAATTCTATTGTGGTGCATATTTGATTTGATGACAGAGTGAAAATAGCTGGTGGACCTATCCCCTTGTAAGCTCCAAGCAATTTTAGTTTTTTGTTTGAAGAAAGACAATTCACAATTCAAGAGCTTGTTATAGGAGGAAATACTGCACTTCTCTTGATTGATAAGGGCTGGGTTGAGGGGATCAATTTGTAACTTTTTTTGAATATCCTCTACCTCCAGTCTAGCTTTGTATACCTGATCACAGATATTGTAGAAGTGCACCTGATTAAGAATATCCTCTACCTCCAGTCTAGCTTTGTATACCTGATCACAGATATTGTAGAAGTGCACCTGATTAAAGTTCTTTAAAGCACCTTTCAAAAGCTTAAGCTTTGAATTTACAGAGAACATTTTATACCCTCCAATATGAGACTGCCAGACTGCAGAGACAGTGGGAAGGAAACTGGAATGGTTAATCCACATTTTATAGAACTTAAATGGATTTTTTCCTCTGGTTTCTTCATCATATATCGATATAAGGCCTGGAGAATGATCTGAGAAGCTTGGGAGTAAATATTCTGCATGACTGGAATTAAAATTCTGGATCCAAGAGTCATTAACAAGAGATCTATCCAATCTGCTCCAGACTCTAGTGGCAGAGTCCTGTTTATTGTTCCAAGTGTAGAAACATCCCAAAGTTTTTAAGTGAGAGAGCTGACAAATCTCTGTGAAAGATCTAAAATCCAATATATCAGCATCTGTAAGCATAACACCACCTAATTTTTCTTCATTTCCCAGCACTGCATTGAAATCTCCACTAAGAAGCCAAGGAGAGTTTCCAATCACGTGATGGATCTGGCTCAAATCTGACCAAAGCTCTTTTCTCATTCCCATATGATTAAAACCATAAATTGAAGAGATATAACAGTTCAGCCTACCATCAGTAGAATTAACTTTGCAAGTGATATGTTGGCCTGAGTAGCCAGAAATTTATAAATCCAAAATACTAGGATCCCATAGCATCAAAATTCTAGCTGTGCTAGTACTATTTGCATTTGAGAACCATCTCCAGTTAGCTGCAATTTTTTTAACAATTTCAGGAAGATTCCCTTCCTTAATTTTTGTTTCCAGTAGAGCAACAAAAGAAACATGATATTGGTGGATGTGTTGCTTAACTAGATGTTGTTTAGGGGATTTATTTAATCCCCTAACATTCCAAAAGGAGAGGTTCATCTTGATAGACCCCCTCTGTCAACATTAGAGGGGTCCAATTCTCTAGACAAATTCAGTAGAGGAGAAAAAATGTTTGCTGGTCCTTTGTTTTTACTCCCCTGAACTTGAATCCAAGGTCTTTGGTTAGGGTCCTTGTTACCAATTTTCTCAGGATCAGGAGATTGGGTATGTATAACATGCACTTCACTTTGAATAGGATCCTTGCCTTTATTTCTCAAAAGAACAGGAGACTGGACATGCACAACATGTACACTGTTATGAACCAAGCCATCTGCTGAAGAAATTGGAGCTGAATCAGGAATCTCACCACTTCCCATATTTCCAGAATCCATATCTTTAGAATTTCCCAAAGGAATATTAGCTTTACCTGCTGGATTAACAACATCTTTTTGTTTAGGAATCCACATTTGTACTGTAGGATGTCTTTTGCAATATTTAGTGTCATGTCCAACATTCTTACAATATTCACACCATCTTGGTTTGAATTCATATATCACTCTCTGAGCATATTGTAAACCATCAGGACCTTGAATTGAAATAGAATCAGGTAGTGTAGAAGGCAAATCAACTTCAATTAAAACCCTAGCATATGCCAATCTCTGCCTGTTGGCAGTGAGTTTATCTGTTGCAATAGGACGTCCAATGGCACTTGCTATCTTACTAATCCCCTTTGTATTCCAAAGATTTAACCTCAGAGCAGGGAGCTGAATCCACATAGGATATTTACACTCATTAATCTTTTCAAAACCTTCAACAACTGACCAAGGTTTCAAGGAAATAGGTCTAGATCCAAAAAACCATGGACCATTTAAAAGTATATCATTCATTTCCTCCTTATTCTTGAATTTGAAGAGAAACACACCAGCTTTAAGGAGACTTATAACAGGAATAGCCAAAGGTGCCCATACTCTGTTAACAAAATTTTCCATAGCTTTATATTTAACATTCAGACCCATCACTTGACCCACAAGGGAAAACTCCCAAATAGATGCTCCCTCTAACCATTCTTCTTCATTAAAAGTTACTACATCTTTAGAACAAGACGGAATCCCAAATAGATGCTCCCTCTAACCATTCTTCTTCATTAAAAGTTACTACATCTTTAGAACAAGACGGAATGAAGCTCAGATCCAGACCACTCCCTATTTTCCTGTTATCAGCAAAGAAACTCACCCAGCTTTTATTTGCAGGCTTTGGAGTCGAAGCAGGGATTTCATCTATCTTTCCCTTTGAACTTTCAGAATCAACATTAATTACATGTTCATGATTTTCAACAGTAATCAATGGAACAGTACTATTATCCTTGTTTAAATTTGAACTCCAAGGCATGACATCAGAATCACCATTCAATTTTGGGTCTAGATCCAGAGGGATTAAATCAATCTCTAGATCCAGATCATCAGCCCAAGATACTCTCGAAGAACTACCAGCACCGTTTAAAGAGAAAGGGGAGTTACTGAGATTTCTCACCTGAACTCCATTCTTTTGAGATTCATTTTGAGATCCACAAGAATCAAAGATTTCCGCCATGGTCTTCTTCTTTTTTTCACCCTTCGGACCAGTGGATCCCATTATACCAGAAGAGAAATCATCTGCATTTTCATCAGATCTCAAATGAGAGAGCTCCGCGGGAGAGAGCAAACTAGAATTTGAAGCACGGAGACCAATGCTGAAGATCTTCTTCCCACTGTTCTTCTTCTTCCTCACCATGAAACTCGACAGTGGCACAAGTTAGCAAAACACAGATCGCCTGCTAACTTACGCCATCAGACTGCCCCATTCTTTTCTAGTTTTTTTTGCGGTGAACTTGCTAGCAAGGTATAGTGCTTATCCTATAAGGAAGCAATGAAATGGTGTTAAACATTTCCTTCGCTATCTTCAAGGTACAAAAGATCTTGGACTATTCTATAAAAGAAACCAAGATATGACATTGGTGGGCTATTAGGACACTGGCTACATATCTGATCCCCATAATGCTAGATCCTAGACTGGTTATGTTTTTCTCTGTGGTGGTACTGTCATTTCTTAGAGGTCTGTTAAGCAGACCATGGTGACTACTTATTCTAACCACTCAGAGATTATCGCTTTATATGAGACCTCACGAGAATGTGTATAATTAAGATCGTTGATATGACATATTTGTGGTTCGTGTGGTCTAGCGAAAGATGATATTCCCCCCACTGTCCTTTATGAGGACAATGCAGCTTGTGTTGCACAAATGAGCAGTGGATATGTAAAAGGAACCATGACAAAATATATTACGCCAAAATTCTTTTATCCACATGAGCTCCAAAAGAATGGTGAAATCACCATCGAAAAAGTTCGCTCAAGTGACAATCTTGCAGATTTGTTCACTAAATCTCTGCCTACATCAACTTATGAGAAATATGTTCACAATATGCATAGACTTGAAAGACTATCTTCTTCAGGGGGAGCAAATTCTTAAAGAACAATCCTGAAGATTGGGCCCTGAAGGTCTATTATCATAATTTGC